GACACACCTGAAAGAACAAAAAAACAAGATTTTTAACCAAACAAATATTGAAGAATGAAATTGAGAAAAAAATCAATGCAAAACAAAATAAATAATATTTAAAAGAATAAAAATCAATACAAAACAAAATAAATAATATTTAAAAGAATTAAGATTAAATTCAACATAAAAATCAACTGAAATTAAATGTTAAAGGAAGATTTAAATAAAATTAAATGATTAGGGATGACATTTAAAAAAAAAATCAATTAAGAAAATAATTAAAAAATAACAATCAAAAAACTTGACATAAGATTCAATGAAAAGAAATGATCAAGTATGAAATTGAAGAAAAAAATAAATCACAAAAATAACTAAAAACAAAAAAATAACAATTAAAAAAATTAAAATCATATTTGATAAAAAAAATTAACAAAATCAAATAAATAAAGAAGAAATCAAAAATAAAATCCAATTAAAAACAATTACTGTAAATAAAACAATTGTAATTAATTAAGAAAAGGACTGAATCAAAAGAAAAAAAAATGAAGGCTAGTATAATTTTTTGCATGGCTAATATGCAATCTAAGAAAGAAAGAAAAGGAAAAGACAAAAAAAAAATCAATTAGTGTCGAACCAAACCTTCAGCAACCTTTTTTATAGTCCACAAAATAAAAAATGCCCCTGTGAATGAACAATAATAACAAAAAACCCTTATAAAATTACAATCACATTCTTGAAGCCAAAGCTAAGAAATTTGAATGGTAAAGGTAATTAAGTAAATCAACTATTTATAAAATTATAAAAAAACAAAAATGTCCCTAAAACTAAATAAAAAAATTATTAGGAAATGACAATCAAGCTCCTCCCGCCATAATTAACAAATTTGCATGGTAGGGTATTTGTGCAAGTCGATTGTTCATGATAAAATTGAAATTATCAAACAGCTTCTGGACTTGAGATTCTAATTAAGATTCTAATTATTTACTCTCTACAAGCAATATAATAATTGCATAATTATTAAAAAAAATAAAAACACAATAATGCCCCCAAACAAATTAAGAATAGCAAATTAACCGTGTACAAAAATCATTCTACCTCTTAAGTAAAGGTTTAAAAATTAAAGGATAAAGGGTAAAAAATAATTTTGCTGTAGTTCTACATATATTTCATTATGAATGGACTAAAAAAACACATGGTTTAATATTTTTCTTAAGGGGTGTTTGAAAATATAACTGTGGTTGTTTTTTCAAAGTATTTTTTATTCAGAAATATATCAAAATAATATTTTTTATTTTAAAAAAATTATTTTTAATATTAGTATATTAAAATGATTTAAAAAACTAGAAAATATTAATTTGAAAAAAAATAAATATTTTTAAAACACAAAAATTAAAAAAAAAAAATATTTGATGAGACCTACGTTTTAAAGCTGACGGATTTGACTGAAAAGGTCTGAGGAGAGACACTAGAGAGACCGAAAACTTCCCCTGCTTGGAGGGCAGCACTTCACCCCAAAAGTGGGATGAGGTGTCACCCTTCATAACTACTCATCCTCTCAAAAATTGTGCGCCAAACAGGGTAAAAAGGGCCAGTATCTCACTCCCTTTCGGGCCTTTCCCCTTTCCCCTCGTAAGAACAGTATCTTCATAAAAATATGGGAGAGCTTCAAAATATGGGAACTTGTATAAAAACAATAAAAAACTACCTCCATCAATCAAAGCAGCAAAGAATCAAACAAACTACATAGGTTCAAAACGCGTAAGATCGTGTGAACATAATCTCAGAGCACATTTCAATTGTTTTTGGCTTGACATGGACTTTGTATTACCCCACCCATTCTAAAAAAACTAAAAACAATTAATTTTTTTCTTTTAAAATAAAACAGCTTACCAAAAAGCGACTTGACGGAGGGCCTCTTAGATTTTGTGCTCCTTTTCTTTAATTCAGCTGCATAATGGATGTAGAAAAAGAATCACCAATAAGGATCATGTGAAAGTGGATGGTTGCAAAATAATAAAACTTGCGCTCTTTACATGGGTAAACTTCCATATTGCACCTATATATTTGATTGAAATTTCATTATTTTAATCTAAAAAAAATTAGATTACGACTAGTGTTTAATGGAGTTATAGTATGATTGCGGTTGTTTTTTAAATAAGTTTTTATATTAAAATATATATTAATATTTTTTTTGAAAAAAAATATTTTTAATACCATCATATTAAAACAATTTAAAATATATTACATTTTAATAAAAAAAATTAAATATAATTGTACCACATTTCTAAACGGTGACTTGAATTTTTATCAAAGGCTTCTAAATAAAATCCTGGAAAAGAGATTTTGAGGAGACCAATTTTTCCAGCCACGTCCTCCCTCGTGTGTTTCTTGTCTCATAGTCTCCCTCTAGCTTGACAACATCCTAAAATATTCTGACATTTGTCAAGCTATTAATGAAACTCAACAATCTTATTGCCGTTGAATATAGTACCTCTCATTAATTATTAATTAATCAATTTAAGAAACACATTGTGTCGTTAAATCATTATAATCGCATCTATAAAATATTATTTATTGAAATACATAATGTTTTTTTCTATTCAATATGCTTTTTCGATAATTCTTTTAAAATTTAATTTTTAATATTGATACTCCTTAACAAGGAAAGCTGTCCAGATCACTACTTGATCCCAAGATCGTCTTCGTCTTCGTCTTCCAACTCAGTTCGAAGATATGATAATGGCATCATCTACAAGCTGACCTTTCATATTCTCACTAGTTGGTTGGAAGATTAGCCAACTTCGAAGAAGAATACCGAAGGGAACTCAAAACTACAAGATGAAGGAAGCAGTAAGGAAGGAGAAATGTATGAAAATAACCATACCTCCCGCATTCGGCTTGCCCTACCGTGTCCTTATAGGGTCTGAGTGACTGCCAAATTGGTAGGCCCGAACCTATCCATGTAGAGTCCTTTTAGAACTAGGATCTGTAGGAGTCGCAGCTCCGTGAGTAAAAGCCTCTCCCTAACTTCCTGATTTTGCTTTAGAAATTGTGTTTAGGAAGTTTTTTCCATTTTATTTTGCATTGGGTTATTTGCTGGTCTTGTAGATTATTTTTTTGTAATTTCAATTTTTAATATTAGATTTTTTAGAAGTACAATTATATTTTTTTATAAATTTATTTTAATCCTATGACCTAAGTCACGAGTTTAACAGTTTAACTTAGAATGACTCGAGTTATTTTTTGAACTATTTTTTTAATTAATTTTTTTTAATTTCATTTTTCAACATTAACTTATTAGACTTCATGTTTTTTTTTTTAATTTTTTATATTATATTATTTTGATATAATAATTCGGATCATATGTTTCATAGGTTGACCTGAGTTGTTCTATTTATTTATTTATTTCTTTTTAATTGAATATCTTTTTAATTAAGCTTGGTAATTTTTTTTATTTTCTTTTTATGAGTTTATCCCATTCTCATAACCCAACTCATAAGTCTGATAGGTTAACTTGGGTTAACATGATTTATTTTTATCCTTTTTAATTGTTTTTTTTAATTTCACCTTTCAACAACTCAATTTTTTATTTAGTTTTTTAATTTCAATTGTATCTTTCAATATTAGGTTATTTGAAAATTAATCTTCTATTTTTTTAATTTGTTTTTTTATAGAGTTATATCATGACTTATGAATTTATTTTTTTCCTTAATTTCAACCTTCAATATTGTATTTGTAGGAAATAGAGCTTTGCAATTTTTTTTATTTTTTATTTACTAAGTTATCCTTGTCTTATAATCTAGGTTGTGGGTTTAACAAGTTAATTCAATTTTTTTTTTAATTTAGTTTTTTTTTGTTTTATCCTTCAACATTGGATTGATTGAAAATTGGATTTCATATATTTTTTATTTATTTTTTATGTGGTTATCTCGATCTCATAATCTAGATTGCTGGTTTTACAAATTAACTTGGGTTGACCTTATTTTTTTTTATTTCTTGATTTTTTTAAAAAATTATCTTTTAATATAAAATTAATTAGTAATTGATTTTCATAATTTATGTTAATATGTTTTTCATAAGGTTATTATAATTTTATTATAGAGGTCAATATTTAACATATTAATCCAGGTTAATCCACTATGTCAGATCTCAATATTTAAAAATAAATATTATCTAATATATTTTTGTATAAATATTTTTAAAAATATTATCTAATATACATCATATTTTAAATTTATAATTATTATTTTTATTATGAATCAATATTTATATATTTTTTCATATTAAAAAAATAATTCAACTTGCAGCACAGGCGAGAAACAATCCACTCAATTACAAAATAGGTTAATGATTGTACCGTTCATGTATTATAATTAATTAAATAATTTTTTTATTAATAGGATCAAAGCAATTTTCTTATTCATCTAATATGTTCCATGATAGTACCGGAGTTGACAAAGACATCATGGCTAATCATGCGACACGAGTTTCGACTTCATTGACGAATACTTTTTCTGATTTTTTTAATTAAAAATAAGGTAAGGAAAATAAAAATAAAAAACACCATTCAACGCTAATACTAAAATTCTCCATCTTATCCTGCATGAAAACAAATTAATTGAAAGTGAAAAGAGGAACGAAACTGGTAGAGATAGCCATCGCCTTTCAAAAAAACACCATTCAACGCTAATAATAAAATTCTCCATCTTATTCTGCATGAAAACAAATTAATTGAAAGTGAAAAGAGGAACGAAACTGGTAGAGATAGCTATCGCCTTTCATTATCCAAAATGAATTCCGTCCAGCCACCATCAATTTCATCATCATGTCTCTCTTCTCCAAAATCAACAGCCCACATCAATTTTATCCTTGAATTCAAACGCCATTAACTTAAATCGGCCGTTATGGTGGTGGTGGATGTCATGAAGGTAGCGAAAGTTGCAGCCACGATGCCAGCTTGATGGAGCTGGATTTGACTATGGTGGAGGTGGATATGATGCTGGCAGCTAGGATGAGCTTGGTTTGGTTCTTAGTTTGTGATTGAATTTGATGACTGTGATCCGACCTCTTTCCAGTGGCTTAAGCATGCAAACAACGATGGCTGAGGATCCTAACGGAGAAAAAACAAATCACTGCTTAATGGACATGTACCGTCTGCTTAACCATGATGCTAAACTCCCTAAACTCCATCTAATGGAGAGTAATCAAAATATTAAACAAATAGATTTAAAAGGACTAAATCAACACTTGAGCTGGCAGTGGAATCAAATTAGTTAATTGCTCATAGTACAAGGATGGCACCGAACGTTAAACCATTACAAACTAGAGGGGGTTCAAAATTGCGAAGCTCAGAATCTTAACCTTAAAGTTCCGTCCTAGGGCGAGAGGGGAGGGGAGTCTTTTGCTCTTTTTCTCCATTTTCCACGATATAAATGACGCACCTTTATCAACTCAACAATGATCAGTTACAACTTACAAGAAACCCACAGTGCTGGCATGGTATAGCAAATTTCTAGTTTTGGCAAAAGGTAGTAAAATAAATACACATCGACCTCAAAAGAATATTTACTATGAGATAATTTTACAAAGATTAACAATCTAACTAAACGAGCCAATTAGTAACCTCAAACCACTCAATTACGGGGTGCCCTTGCCCCTGAAACTTTAATTTCAGCGAACACAAAATCCAGGAGCTATTCATCGAGAAAGTGATCCTTCTTTCATTTTACCTCTAATCGAATGTTACATAACCATCTGATGGTATAATGAGATTAGCACAGCTCACTTGGATTTACATGATTGCTCCGAAGCATCTGGTTTGGGAGGCAAGAGGCTTAGGAAGCTCCCTTTAACAGGTTGATTGGGAGCCTCGGCTGACTCATCTTCTGTTATATCATGAACCATCATAATAAGAAATAAAAAAGGGAAAGCAGCCCGATCAAGCTACAACAATGTTCAATAATATACATCTATTATTCTAAGAACATGATAGTTTTAACTTGCATCATCTACAGGCGATTTTGAAAGAATTCTCTTAAAAAAAGCGCCAGTGATATGAATGAAATTCTGAAACTCGAACAAGGATTTTGCACTTGCTTATTTCAAAGAGAGCTAAAAGACATCACCCGATAACTTCATGTAATACTAACCACTACGCGCTAAACAAATTTCGGCACTCTCATAAATAAATGATAGTTTGATCTGTCGGTTAATAATGAACAAGAAAGAAATATCACCATAAGCATAAGAAGTATTTTTAGGTTTTCTTATGGTATGGGATTACGAGATTAGAAATTAGAGAGTAGTATGTTATGGGATAGGGTTTGAGAGTCGAGTGTCAAGGGCATAACGGGAGTGTTGAAGGTGGAGTGCTTATGATGTTTGGGTATTCAAAGTGTATATAGATCATGATAGTGGGACCATGCTTAATAACAGGTCTTATATATAAGTAGTTAAAGTAGGTAATTGAGCAGTGTTTTGCCGCGAGTATAAATTTTTTTAGTAAAAAATAAAAAACTTAATATGCAAGTTTATCAAATTTATATTTTTATAAATTTTTTAATTATAAATCAAGAATCCTATAAAAATTATTTGTATTAATAAATACAAATTACAAAATATTCATGTGTTTATTCAACCCGCCTAAATGCAAGTAGACTATTTTTCTCAACACAAAACAATTAATGTGTAGATGTTATTAACATGACTTTTACATCAAGTAAACAATATAACCGTGAATCATAAAGCCAACACTTATATATAATAAAATATAATACAAATCATATATATTAATAAAAATATGTAAAATCTCAAACTAATTTTTAACATAGCTAAAAAATAAAACAATATTATAATTGCTATACACTACTCTCTTAATCTATGTAGATTAAATTTTCAAAAACAAAAAGTTTAAAGATAAAAAAACATTAAAAAAATTACAAAAGAGAAAAAAATGAAAAAAAAATAGTATAAATAAGCCAAGTGTAAAGAATAACAAAATAATATTTTTAAAAAAAAATGTAAAGAAAAAAAATTTAAAAAAAAATTAAAATTATGAATTTTGCATGCAGGTTATAATTTTTTTAAAAAATAAAAATATACTAGGTATCCAAGCTACTCCAGTGTGTTTCTTTATATGAAAAATTAAAAATATCATTTAAAAAGCATATGCAATTATTTAACTAAATAAATCAATAATTATTTATGCAAGTAAAAAATAAAAATAAAAATAATCAAGAAAGAAACTATGAAGATGAGATATTTTTCTGATTATGTTTATCAAACTTTTTTATTTAAATAAATAAGAGATGAATCCAACCTAAAGAAGTCATGGTTTAGATGATAAATGCAAATAAAAATGATTCAATAAATCCACACCATAAAAAATATCATAAAATGCCAAACACATTAGAAAAATATAAAGAATGAACACCTATTGATATAGTGGAAATATATTAAAAAACAATTAAAAAAAGCCTCAAGTAAACCCAACAGCTAACCTGGGTGAACAAATCAAACACATAGCCTAAAACATGAAATTAAAATGACCCCATAAATAGAAAAACGAAAAAAATACTTGCAAATTTTTTTTCAAAAAATCCTTTAAAAAATCCAAAGTTGACCCGAACTAATTTTGCAGATCTATAACCCGAGTCATAAAACTAAAGTAACCCCATTAAAGGCACACCTGAAAGAACAAAAGGACAAGATTTTTAACCAAACAAATATTGAAGAATGAAATTGAGAAAAAAATCAATGCAAAACAAAATAAATAATATTTAAAAGAATTAAGATTAAATTCAACATAAAAATCAACTGAAATTAAATGTTAAAGGAAGATTTAAATAAAATTAAATGATTAGGGATGACATTTAAAAAAAAAATCAATTAAGAAAATAATTAAAAAATAACAATCAAAAAACTTGACATAAGATTCAATGAAAAGAAATGATCAAGGATAAAATTGAAGAAAAAAATAAATCACAAAAATAACTAAAAACAAAAAAATAACAATTAAAAAAATTAAAATCATATTTGATAAAAAAAATTAACAAAATCAAATAAATAAAGAAGAAATCAAAAATAAAATCCAATTAAAAACAATTACTGTAAATAAAACAATTGTAATTAAGAGAAGAATGACTGAATAAAAAAAAAAACTAAAGGCTAGTATAATTTTTTGCATAGCTAACATGCAATCTAAGAAAGAAGGAAAAGGAAAAGACAAAAAAAAATCAATTAGCGTCAAACCAAACCTTCAGCAACCTTTTTTATAGTCCACAAAATAAAAAATGCCCCTGTGAATGAACAATAATAACAAAAAACCCTTATAAAATTACAATCACATTCTTGAAGCCAAAGCTAAGAAATTTGAATGGTAAAGGTAATTAAGTAAATCAACTATTTATAAAATTATAAAAAAACAAAAATGTCCCTAAAACTAAATAAAAAAATTATTAGGAAATGACAATCAAGCTCCTCCCGCCATAATTAACAAATTTGCATGGTAGGGTATTTGTGCAATTCGATTCATGATAAAATTGAAATTATCGAACGGCTTCTAGACTTCAGATTCTAATTGTTTACTCTCTACAAGCAATATAATAATTATAATTGCATAATTATTAAAATAAATAAAAACACAATAATGCCCCCAAACAAATTAAGAATGATAAATTAACCGTGTACAAAAATCAGTGTACAAAAATCATTCCACCTCTTAAGTAAAGGTTTAAAAATTAAAGGATAAAGGGTAAAAAATAATTTTACTGTAGTTCTACATATATTTCATTATGAATGGACTAAAAAAACACATGGTTTAGTATTTTTCTGAAGAGGTGTTTGAAAATATAACTGTGGTTGCTTTTCAAAGTATTTTTTACTTAGAAATATATCAAAATAATATTTTTTTTTATTTTTTAAAAAATTATTTTTAATATCAACATATTAAAATGATTTAGAAAACTAAAAAATATTAATTTTTTTAAAAAATATTTTTATAACACAAATTAAAAAAAATAATATTTGATGAGACCTACGTTTTAAAGCTGACGGATTTGATTAAAAAGGGCTGAGGAGAGACACGAGAGGGACCGAAAACTTCCCCTGCTTGGAGGGCAGCACTTCACCCCAAAAGTGGGATGAGGTGTCACCCTTCATAACTACTCATCCTCTCAAAAATTGTGCGCCAAACAGGGTAAAAAGGGCCAGTATCTAACTCCCTTTCGGGCCTTTCCCCTCGTAAGAACAGTATCTTCATAAAAATATGGGAGAGCTTCAAAATATGGGAACTTGTATAAAAACAATAAAAAACTACCTCCATCAATCAAAGCAGCAAAGAATCAAACAAACTACATAGGTTCAAAACGCGTAAGATCGTGTGAACATAATCTCAGAGCACATTTCAATTGTTTTTGGCTTGACATGGACTTTGTATTAGATTACCCCACCCATTCTAAAAAAACTAAAAACAATTAATTTTTTTCTTTTAAAATAAAACAGCTTACCAAAAAGCGACTTGACGGAGGGTCTCTTAGATTTTGTGCTCCTTTTCTTTAATTCAGCTGCATAATGGATGTAGAAAAAGAATCACCAATAAGGATCATGTGAAAGTGGATGGTTGCAAAATAATAAAACTTGCGCTCTTTACATGGGTAAACTTCCATATTGCACCTATATATTTGATTGAAATTTCACCTCTACCCCTATAGCTTATATTTTCTCAATGATACCCTTCTAGTTCCCAAAAAGTTCTAATGTAACCATTAACCATCAGATAGCTTACCTTTTGAATTTGGTTCTTGAGCCTTTTTTTTTTTTAAGTTTTTTAAGACTCTTCATGAAATGCTATAGCATGTATAGTTCCTGTAGTGCATAAAAGTTAAGGGTGATGCCTTGCCAAACACTTCCATTATTAACAATCCCATTCCCTATCTTAGGTGTGCAATATATATAACAGATAAAATATTCTGGATAATGTGGAGACAAAATACTAATTAGGATAGTCGAATGGAGAGGATGCATATATATATATATATATAACAGATAAAATATTCTGGATAATGTGGAGACAAAATACTAATTAGGATAGTCGAATGGAGAGGATGCATTAGATACATATAATTGAAGAGAAGGAAAATATACCGATTCCAGGTAACTGATCATCATTTACAATTTCAAAGTTCTTGTATGTATAGCCAACGAAGTTAATATCTTTAGATGAAAGCATCTGCAAAAAAGACAAAAAAAAAAAAAAAAACCATTTAACCAACATCTAGACGCCAGAAACATTATTGATCACCAATTAATTAAACTTTTAACTTGCAGGCTATATAAAGCAAATAACTTTTGTTTTGGTGCTCCAACGCTCCAATTAAATTCACAGGCCAATCTAGCACCAAAGAAAATCTCAAGCCAAACTTGAATTGTTATAAAGCAAATAGCTTTTGTGTTGATGCTAGCAATGCTCCAATTTAATTCATATGTCAAGCTAGCACCAAAAAATTCTTAAGGGGTAGAAAGAAGTAACATTTTCATGCATGAGTGTCCACTTCCCTAAGAGAAAGGAATACTGTAAATATGTGAAAATGGAAAAGTGGAAAAGTGGAAAGTTCCCCACGATCCCAAATTTCTGCTTTTCTGAATGGTTTTCCTGTTTTCTGAGACCGCAGACATGTGTATCCCTAACTCCTGATTATCTTATTTAGATTCTAGATAATTCCCATCTTGACCACTCCGAAGAACATACATATATAAATTAATAAAGGAAACTAAAAGAGAAACTCTGCAGATGGTGGTTCTAGTTCTGATAAACTGCTGCTGGGGAAGAATCATCCATGTTTCTGGCTTGTGGAATTGGAGTTTTCACAAGTTCTTATCATTAGTTGATGCTCATTTGTTTTGATGTAAATCAGTTGATAGCATTAGAGGAGATGTTAATGGTATATTGATTGGGATTGGGCTTCCTACTGAATTTGTCTTGGAAATGAAATATTCATTCATAAAAAAATGAAATAGAATGAACAGAAAAATGCACATTCTCTGGTGGAATACTAATCAAAATACCCCAAAAGTAACTCAGCATAAACAACAGAATTCGTATGTACCAACCTTTCTCCAGGGACCAGAACATAAACAACAGAATTTGTATGTACCAACCTTTCTCCAGGGACCAGATTTTGCTGAAGTTTGAATTTGGTCATCAGCCTAAAAGAATCACACGAATGATAGAAAAGTTAACTAGACAAAAGTATCTAAACAAGTGGTTAAGATTTTTAGACCAATCAATCTACCTCTTCAAACTTCTCAAAATTTTGAGTATCCAATTCATCATTGACCTCAGGAATAAACGCAGCTTTCATTTGATATAATTTGTCCCACTCAATACCTTCAAACCATGGGTGAGCCTGAAAATAACACGGTAAACAAATTAATTTTATCGATCTCGATTTTATCTGGAGTATTGCTAATAGAGAAAGAAACCAAAAAAATTTAGAACAGAACACCACAACACCTTTATTTCATCCATGCCTTTTGTTCCAAGCCTCTGGTCAACATTACATAAGAGTTTGCTAATAAGGTCTTTCGCCTCAGGAGATAACTTTGCTTCTTCTGGAAACTTTAAATGATTTCTCCAATTTACTATCTGCAGAAAATGAAAACAGTGGAACTACTAAGGGGTGATGATATTGGAGACAAGGAATGGGACGAAATGCTCCAGAGGTTAACACTGAAAAAGGAAAAAAGAACCTAGAAGACAGTGCTAACAATTAAAGGTTTGTTAACATTTGGGAAAAGTTTGAGAAGTTACCAGCTACAAAATCACAATTGAACTGAATAGCATGGTTTTGAGTAGGTAAAGAGATCAGAAAAAATAACGAGTAAACATGTTGGCAAGGCTCATTTCAACATGCATTAATCACAATCAAGAGAAGCACAATTTTCTCTTGACAAATAAGTACACAATCACAAGATTACCTTCCTACAAGTTGACATGGGATCGTCTGAGTAAAACGGCGGGTACCCCACAAGCATTTCATACATAATAGCACCAATGGACCACCTGGATGTAAGAAACTAAGTCACACCTGAAGGGTCTCAGAAAAGAAAAATACTAAGGGCCATTTTCAGTATACCAACCAATCACATTCCATTCCATATCCTTTCTTCATCAAGACCTCTGGGGCAATGTAGTCAGGAGTTCCAACAGTGGAATAAGCCTGCAACATTATAATATTGAAGGTTTAAACAATAGAAATCCCAGTGGAATTCCCACGGATACTACAAATACCTCAGTGGGAGGAGAAGTTTGACAGTAAAATGATAGGTTAAAATAACTATTAAAAACAGATTTTTTGTAGTGAAAATAATTATTAAAAACAGAAAGAAGGTTGATAATTGTAAAGTAGATGAAAACATCCTCCTAAGAAACAAAAGAAACCAAGAAGAAAGAGGCTAAAATAACAGAGCTTTCCAGTCTCTCTACATATCCACTAAGAAAACCCAACTAAACCCATCCAAAGAACAGCACCATGAAGAAGCTGGGAAGAGTATTTTACAATTCTAGATAAATTCTTACTGCCTGTAAATTATAAGCAAAATAATGAAACCAGGCATTCAGCATAAAGCAGCAGCCATGGCATCAACAGCAATAATGCCTTGATTAACAATGTTAATCCTACGGAATGAAAGGTCATTCCACTACATGACAGTGGGGAACTTACAAGCATCCTCCTGTTCCTCTGCCAGTGTTGCAATTGTTCCTGTTGAGTACGTTTTGGTGCTGCAGGGCATTCATTACTTTGAAGAGCTCCACTAAGATTGTTTGCCACAGAAAAATCCTTTTCTTGGAGATTACTGCAATCTAATGGTTTACATAGTCCAAAATCTGATAATTTCATGTGACCATTTCTATCAAGTAGCAAGTTGTCAGGCTTAATATCTCTGCAACATGAAAGCACAGAAAAGATAAGCTCACAGTTACAATATCAGAAATACATGATAAAGAAAGCACATCGACAGTTCAAGACAAATATTGATTTACCTATGAATATAATTATGTGTATGGATAGATTCAATAGCCAGGACAGTTTCCCCAACATAAAACCTGGCCTCATCTTCAGTTAGCGTGTCCTTGCGCATCAATAAAGTCATCATATCTCCACCAGGTAGATACTCCATGATTAGATACAGATACTCTTCATCTTGGAAAGACCAATACAGTTTGACAATGCAATTGCTATCAACCTCCGCAAGTAGATTCCTTTCTGCTTTCACATGTTCAACCTGAACATTTTAGATCCAAAATGGAAATAAGCAAAATGAAGAAGCACTCCAATAAAATTGTTAGGAAGGCTTAACAAGACCACATACCTGTCCTCGACGAAGCATCTCTGATTTCTTAAGCTTTTTCATAGCATACACATGACCTGTTGACTTTTCCCTACAGATTCTAACCTGCAATCTCAAAAGGAGGAGTTCAAAAAACAATCACTCAATAATTGATGAATTGGTTAAAAGAGCATCACCGCTATAAACACCCAAAAATAAATTTCAAGAAAGATATCCTGGCTATCAAGAAACAGTTTAGCAAGAATGTCTGTGTTTCCTCTTGCTATATGCTAGAATGTAGTAGGAAGAAAATACCAACAAGGTCTGTCAAGCTGGAATAGATTATGAAAAGAACATGTTTACCTCCCCAAATGCACCCTTGCCTATCATTGTCAATGGCTCAAAATCATCTGCACCCATTTTATGCCTTTGAAGGCGCATGTATTCAGTTTCCTTCTTCTCTAAATACTTAAGTAAGCTATCTTGTTCTTCCTCAGAGACCTCAGCATCAGCTAGCTTCTTCTCCAGTACATTACGTCTGCAAGAAATCATAAGCATCAAAATACCATCACCATCAACTTACTAAGAGTTAAAAGATCTCATGAGTGAGATGGTCTTTCAGAAAAAATGGTGAGTTTTATTCATTCGATGACCACTCTGAAAAGAAGCGGAAAAACGTTCATGCACCCTTTGAGCTGAAAGAATCGATCATAGTGTTAGCATCTAATGGTCAGTAAGAATGCAATGCTCATGAACTCATACAATACACATGCAGAAATAAGAATCAATCATAGTGTTGGCATCCATATTGATTTCTAAGAGGGAACCAGAAAGCCATCAGATTTGATATGTGTACTTTCACCCCATTCAGATTCTACCCTATCCCCATGCATATTCTTCTGTTATTTTACTTCCATAAACACCATAAAATCTGTAGTAAAAGGAATTTTACACAAATAAATTGCTTTGCTTCTAAAGATCCATATTTTACAATCAAGCAATAGACACAGTGTTAAGACATCCCACAACCACCCAAAATAGAATTCGAAACAGAAAATAGGAGTGAATGTTATGGGGCACGTTGTCCGTCCTCTAAACTTCAATTTGAGAATGAATCATCATTAAATGCTGCTTTCCTTAATAGGGAAACTGTTTAGGGAATAAGGATAAAGCCAAACAAGCGTTACTGGTGGATAAAAGTATCACTATAGGATTTTATAACAACAGGTAAAATGACTGCACCCTAACCACATCAGATAAGTATATTACCCACCTTCATTGATAAGGTCAGACATTGGAGACTTTGAAGTCAATCTGACCATGTGGGCCAAAGAATAATTCCTAAGGCTGGGCCTTAGCTGGGGTCAGTACTCTTCTAGATAAATTGGGCCTGTCATCACATATGACGCCACACTAGTCTGCCTCCAAAAACTTGATAACCAGTACAAAGACTCGCCAAACTATCCATGTCAAATTCATAATCTCGTTTTCTTTATTTCTTTATTTTTTATAAAACAAGAAGACCAGAGTATCCAATCATTGTTTTTCATAATTACATTAGAAGTTGCCAGAACAATGCATTTGTTATTATCTAGAAGTTATATACAAAATAAACCCTTAAGTGGCACCAAAGAAAAAGAACGGGTAATGTACTATACTAGGAAAAATTAAAATAGAAACCAGAGGATCCTTAGTGGCCAATTCAAACGGATAAGCCAAAAGACGAAGTACGACTATTAACAGGAAAGTAATTTTACTTGAACATCATTGCTATGAAAAGATGCATTAAATCATACCGCTCCTTCCTCTCTTGCAGGTCCTTCATTTGCTTCTTATAATGGTTCTCAATATACTGCTTTGCAGCGGCAACCTTCTGCCTTGTTACATTTGATGGTGCTTCTTCACTGTTTGGGGCTTTTGATCCCTCTTTCTCATTGCCTGCAGTATCTTTCTTTTTCGCAGACTTCAGCTTATCCTTTGACTTTAACCTATTGAACCAACACCCTGTAGACTCCATATGTTTCACTTGACAATTATTTCAAATTTTGTGGGAGACAGAGCCCTCTTGTCACAGGCTCACAGCCCTGCACTCTTAAATATATGCATTTGATTTCATAAGTTACTGAAGATGCACCCTTTGGCTTAGGCACTCATTTGACAGATGAAGCAGATTCTTATGCTCCACACATTACCAAGGAATTCAAGAATTTCCTCTGTATCAAAAAGACACAAACAACTTGAATTAGCTTGGCATAATCATCATTGCATTCTCCGCAGACTTGTCTCCAAGCAGTTGCAAGAAATCAGAACTACAAACATATAAACCAGCATACATTTAACAACTTTAGTCAACACAATATCACTTCTCCCAAGAATCATAATCTCAAAAACATAAGATGCCTGCCTCATTAATGAAATTTCTACATTGCTTCTTTTGTTTTTCAAAATCAGTACAGAATGTTCCTCGATTTCATTAACAAACCACCCCCAAAGTTCTAAACCTTAAACATCAAAGCACGAAACTATAGAACACAAATGTTGCCTCCCTCAACAACTTTGACTTCTTGACAAGACTCATCTCGAGCACTTAATTACAAGCCAATTCTCAAATTAGCAATCTATCTACATCTCCTAACACTAACAATTATTCGATCAGTCTAATTCATAAATACCAATCAACTTGAGTTTCTTCACTAATCCAAAATATTTATAGCCAGACTCTTCCTAAAATTTTCTCACCAACAAAACAGAAAATCATAACTAAAAAGCAGATATTGTATTTTACTAATTCAGAAAATAAAAATAAACAAACAACTGTGATTAGACCTAATACTAAATTTACAATTCTTCCTACATTCTTCCACAAAACAACAAACTCAAGATCCTAAAAGTCCTAATCACGCAAGCCCCCCCCCCCCAACATTTTCCGTGAACAAACAGAAATTCAGAACTAGAAAATTCGAAACCAGACAAATCCTAAAGAGTTTCTTTTAATCAATAAAGCAATAAAATCCAAAATCTCAGAAAAGAATCACTGATGTTTCCTACATTTTCTCACTAACCACACATAAATCCAAATCCTCAAACTCGTAACAGGAAAATTAACTTCTTAACAAAAAAAAATCCGACTAAAAAAACAAGATGGAAACAAGTTAGAGAAAGAGTAGGTACCGTAAGGTAAGAATTGAAGAGGTAAGGCTAAAGAAAGAGAAGAAGCGGAGATGTCGGAGAAGAAGAGAGTGAAGAAGAAAAGAGCACTTTGTCTTCATGATTTTGATGACCCGTTCTGTTGGTGTTGAAACTTTAAGCGCGCGCTCTCTCTCTCTCTCGATCGATTTTCTTCCTTTTCTTTTCCTTCGCTTTTCTATTTCTATCAAACCATCGATGCATCAATTCTTTCTTTCTTTTCTTTCTTTTCTTTTTTCTTTTTTCTTTTTTCTTTTTCCCGTGTTCTCAACGTTCTATTCTTTCCACGTACTAGTTAGGAGCTGTTTTCTATTTATAAGAAATTTACCCCCTTTTTTTTCCTTTGCATCTTCTTTTCTTGTTCACGTTTTATTCATGGTTATGGAGTTTTGTTTCTACGCCAGAAATGTTGTTTTTAAGAAATTCAATTTTTTAAAAAATATTTTTTTATATTTTTAGATAGTAAGAAGTGATAATGTTGAAAATAATTTTTTAAAAAAATATATTTTATTTTAATATAATTTTAAAAAAATAATTATTATCATAATATCAAACATATTTTATATATTATGACAATATCAAATAGAAATCATCTAGAACATAAATAAATTAAATTGATATAAATTGATTTGGATTAATAAAAAATTTAAACAATGTTAAAATAATATTATTTTAAAATAAATAAACAAATAACAATAGTTATAATCACGGAGTAACTGGATTTTGGGAACAATAAAATTTTAATGTTTGCACTTTTATTTCTTTTGATAGTTTGAGGAAATCAGCCTGTGAATAAAGTTTCCCAGCGTTTTCAAATAAACGTTGAATCTTAATAAAAATAATACTCCACTGCTAAAAAAAATCAAGATAAAACTACAGCACCTTCGAATTTTGAAGTTGTGGTATGTTAGCAGAAGCATTGTAAATCTAAATCCAACAATCTTACGATGATTATACTAAATAAACACTATAGTCATATCTATGTACACATGACATAGATGGAAGTAAGATTTTTAAAGTAATTACATAGTGTCAGAAAGTGTGATTATAATTATTTTTTAAATTATTTTTTATTAAAAAAATATATTAATATTATTTTTATTTTTTTAAAATTATTTTTTAGAGTATCACATTAAAATAATTTGAAAATATTAAAAATATATTAATTCAAAATAAAAATAAAAATAAAAAAATTTTGAAGCGCTTTTCGAAGGCAGTTCCAAACACACTTTTAATCTTATTTATTAATATTTTTATATGTCAAAAATTTATTACAACTATTGCAAAAAACTAAAAAGCTATAATAATACTGAATAAAAAAATTAGAAAAGTCTTCCCTCCAAATAGAAAGAAATAGAAACAAGTTATAATAAAAAATATAAAAATAATAAAAACAAGTTATAATAAAAAATATAAAAATATCTTTTTTAAAAAACCTCTTGCACCAGTCATAGGTAACTCATGCTTGAATTTAGTTTTTATTTAAAAATCATTATTTGTTAAAAATATTATTTTATATGTGAGTCATAGACAAAGACAACATACTAGTTTTTGAATATTTATTTTATGACGAGAACTTCTTCGTCCCCTTTTCTTTTACATGAACATGTTTTATTTTATAATTGATTTCAAGCATAATTATTATAATTATTCTACAACACACACAACAAAGCAAAGTAATAATTAAGGATTGTTAACCATCTAGGTGGCGGCTAAGTGGTAAGAGCCTGGGATCAAGGGGTTTGCTTCCTCTGTGATCTCTTGTTCGAGTCTTTGGTTGCTCAGAGGAGGGCCCCCGGAGGCTTACATGGTCGTTAACTTCAGGGTCCGTGGGATTAGTCGTGGTGCGCGTAAGTTGACCCGGACACTCATGTTAATAAAAAAAAATAATAATTAAGAATCGTGTATTTGAGAGTTTAGCTCAGTGATAATTAAGGATCGTGTATTTGAGAGTTTAGCTCAGTGATCAAGTACAAGACTTGTCTTACGACTGTCTCAAGTTCGATCATTTTTATGTGTTAGCTTTTCCACTCCCGCGGTGTCTTACTTACCTACTAGACTTGCAGAATATTCGGTAGACCCGGAGATTAGTTGTGATATTCGTAAGCTGACCCGGACACCTCGGATCATTAAAAAAAAAATTAAAGATCGTTAGCTTATTTAATAATTATTGGGTTCTAATATCATTTGACATGAATAAAAGCAAATAATAAAAAAGGTTGTTACATGTCAAAAACCTCAAATGTAAAAGAAAATGATATATATAAAAAATCATAAGAACAAAAGGGCTATTAAAATAATTTATTAATTTCATGCATTCATGTCTTCACTTTTCAAAATCCTATTACAATGATTATATATAACAAACTAAAAATCTATAATAATAATGAATATAAAAAAATAAAATAGAAAAAAATCATAACAAATAATAAAAAGATAAAAATAAAACAATATTTATTTTTAAGAAAAACTCTTGCACAACATGCCAACTCGATTAAAATAAATAATAAATCAACTTAAAAACTAATACATTGGTGATTTAAATTGTTAATTCTATATATACAAGCAGGTATAGTCTAGAGTATCCATTAACTTCTTTTATGAAAACAAGTTAAATCTCAATCGTTATAGTTTGTTTAATTATTTTAATTATTATACAACTGAAGAGGACAATCCTCGTTATATAATCTTAAGATCAGTGGACTTCTTGACAAGTAAAAAAAAAAAAACTTTTTAATTCGATAGTCTGTGGAGAAAACTTGTTAACTACTGCGTCATTCATCATATCTCCAGCATGTATTCATAAATTATCTCAGTAGTTAAGAATTAGTTTAATAATGAGATGAAAACGAAGAGGAGAAGAATTATTCGTTGTGTATCAATGAAAGAAGCCTGTACTGTCCTGTCAAAAGAATAAAAAGCAGCTTGCACCAGATTAGCTACAATGGAACACGTTTAACAAAAATATACAGGACGTGGTTTTTTTTAACCGTTGCAAAAGACATAAAGTATTGTATTATATTATTTTTTTAGTGGAAAAAAAAAACGAAAACCTTTGTATTGAAGGCAACTTGGTAATTTATATGACCTATTGATCATTGAAATATTGCTAAAAGGATATATATATGTTTTTTTTCAAAAAATTTAAACAGAAAATAATTTATTTACCCCTAAATTTATACTTTTATCTTTTGGTTTATTATAATATAGTAAAAGAATATCTTTACATAAAAATACAAACAAAAAAATAAGTTATGTTTTTAGGAGCATTTTAGTTACTCACATGTTTTTTTTTAGTAAATTATAGACTCATGGAGGCATTATGGTTTATTTAAATTGGATAATTTTTTTATTATTAAAAAGGATGGCAATGCATGCTTATTATATGCAAGTAGCAACGCCTATAACTCTTCTTATTAATTAAACTT